ATTTTCAGCGACTGATTTAGTGTAAACGTAAGTATTCGGCCATGGTTCAATTAGTCTAAATTCAAATAATCGTATCACACACTTATTAAATATATCTTTGATACGTAACGAAACAAAAATCAGTCYCAAAATAAACGATTGAAAAAGAACATACTTTGGTGTAATGTCATCCAGTAACTTTTCATTCATACTGTCGACTAAATTTATCAACTTGTCGTCGTCAATTGGTGGATCATAAAATTTCTCTTCGATTGGATTGTGGATACATTGGGAATAAACCGAGGATACATGAACGAAACTCTGATACATTAAAAATAACGAATATTTACAATAACTCATATTTTCATTTAATGGTTTTTAAAGTTAATAATAAATATACAAATCGTAAAATATTCGTACTTGCAATTTTGGCATTTCCTTTGAGAAGCTTATCATGTATTTCAAACCTCGTACGTTAGTAGCTGTCGCTGATTTTATATTCTCGTTGAATCTAGTAGTTGCAGCAGAATGAAAAACAATAGAAATTTCTTTTATAAGAGTATTTCTATCTTCAGTCGTGATACCTAGATTCGGCAAAGAACAATCGCCCAAAATGCAAACTATTTTATCTTGAAAATTTGGTTGTTCTTTCCGTAGTTTGGAAAATACCTGAAACGTTTTAATCGATGAAGTTATATATTTTTTCTACTTTTCATATTTATAAATAATATAAACGTATTATTTAAAAAAATTATTTTTTTCACGACTTTTCCAAGCTTAACGCTTGCTAGAAAATATTTTTTTTTTAATTTTTTGTTTTTAAAATGCCTATAACGAGCATTATTTTGTGATAAACAAAATTATTGCAACAAATCAGAGTAGTTCAATAAATTAACATATAAATAATTGAATAAAAGTATATAACTTGCCGTATCTTCGATTAATTCGTTTGTGCGTTGAAGTACATCTTTTCCTTTTTTCGGACGTATCAAAATATAAATGTACTTGATGCCGGGGCAACTCCTCAACAATTTCTCGATTAGTAACTTTCCCATAAMCCCGGTCCCGCCAGTAATGAATATATTTTGACCATCATAGAACTCCTGAATTTGTGTAAACTTCTTGTTCGCTGATTGCATTTTCTTAGCTTATAATTGTATTTATTTATGAGTTTTTGAGTAACCTTTCTCTATGATAAATTATTATCTGTCTTTTGTTAAATCTTTTATCTTTTGTACTTTTATTTAAATTGTGAAAACTAAACATAAATGACAAAATATCAAGTTTATTTTTTTGACATTTTCTTGCCAATCCAGTAGAAATTTAGGATGTACTTGCTTTAATTTTATTTTTTACTAATATCTAGAAAATAATATTCTACACACAAAATTTAGGAAGATCACTAACTTTTTTTGAAAAAACCATGTATATATATACTTATAATTATTGAAGTAATTTAAATAAATTGATACAAAACACGAATAAAACACGAATTTTTGGTAACTCTCGATTTTAACCAAGTAAGTGTTCGTATTATTCTCAGTATCTGTGAGCGTCTACGTCTATCATAGAACTAACTGATCATTGACTAAGTCTTTGGTTTCCTATTAGGCTTAAATAGTCTTTCGTTTGCGCTAAATATTTATAAGCTACATTTTTTATCCATTTTTTCTAGAATAATGCGTATGAAATTAGTTTTTTTACTAAATATAGATGATATTTTTTTATTAATTAATGCATTGCGTATTGTAAGATATTAAAAAAAATAACTAAAATCTTAAAAAAAAAACTTATTGCAAGACGTGGTTAATGTTATTTCAATTGTTGTACTTTCGTTACGAGATTTTAATGTTGATTTAAAGTTTACTGGTGAAAGTAGGAGAGGCAAAACTTGTTAACAATGAATCTAAGAAACACAGTTTATAATTTATTTCCGTATATTATTTGTTTTGTATTCGATGTCTTTTATGCATCATTTATATAAAGACCTTAATCACATCTAGGTGCGTAAATCGCGTAAGGAGATATAATAATTAAGATATTTATAATACAACAGATCAAAGATAATAAATATATCTTATAAACGAAGTTGTTTAATTAAAACTTTTTTAAATATAATTTATGAATGTGTCGCTTTTTATTTCGTTTTCAAATTACCTGAGAAGAACTTTTTTTCTTTCAATCAGATTCGAAAGTTGTAAATAATATTGAAATCGTTCAATTATAGAAAAAAAGCTAAGTGATTCGATAGCTAATAGATTCGATCGATCAAATATCTCTAAGTATCGTTAAATAATCATTTATTTTAGTAACACGTATTTAATGAAATCTTTTAATTTAATTACACCATGGTCTCGGAATAGGAAGATGAATAAAATAAAAATATTGTAATTTTATAATTGTAGGAAATGAAAGTACGAAGAGAAAATAGTTTGGACAAAATGAAGGCATCTTTCAGCCCCAACCCACGTTTTCTTCCAATAGGGCATCCCCGTTTTCAAGATAGAAATCTCACCGTTGGATATAATATACCTTTCCTACCTCTCTCTCTCTCTCACTCTCTCTCTCTCGCGGTTCGTACTTATAAAAGCTTATTTATAAACAGACTTAGCCACCACAATGGTTATTGTTTCAGCGCGCACGGTATGCGATGCGGCGTTGTATGCGCCGCCTATTTATGACACATTATGCGAAAGCGCAACCGATAGTAGTAGTGCATATACGAGTGGTATTGCGTTTCGTGCCATTGTGATGGCAACAATGATATAGCCCGGTCCTATATGCTTTCTTACTCTTTCTTAACTCTTTATCTTTTTCAACGGACAACGTATAAATCACGATTCGTGCTCGAGTTTACCACGAAGTGGGTGTCGAGCTCGAACGCTTCCCCCTTTTACCCACCCTCCTTCTTTCTTCTTCATTTTATTTTATTTTATTTTATTTTTTTTTTTTTCAGTTAAATACCACGAGATTTTAAAATTGTAAAATATTCCTTTCACGTTTATCGATAATTCCCGTACGAAAGTTTATTTCATATTTTAATGAAGTATTTTTCCCTTTTGTTTATTATTAATTATTATTCGTGTTTTTTTTTGTTTCGAAATTTACAAAATTCGATCGAATCGTTCGCGCGGATAATCTTTTGTTAAATATTGTTATATTATATTTCATTTTTTGAAAATATATATAATTAATCTCATTAAAATTGTATATACTCTCTCTCTCTCTTTCTTTATATATATATTTTTTATGAGCATTATGGTTTTCAAATAAAACGAGCTTTACGATATTAAAATTTATTAAGGATATCGTTAAAATTAGAAAAAAAAAAACAACGACGACGCGTAATGCTCGACCTTTGGAATTTTAAAATATGATCTTTTTTTCTGAAAATGAAATATACGTAATGAGAGGCGTCGATATAAAGTGATATGCCAAGTTTTTCTTTTTTAAGGTCATTTTTTCCGAGATATCAATGTCATCGTACTTTTTTCTTTCTATATGAGACTGCATATATATATATTAGAATATTTTTGTAGCTTATAAAAAACCGGATCTAATAATAATGTGCAATATGTTGATCTTCAAGTAACCTTTATCAATAAAAAATTGTGAAATACTATCTCTAGTACATGAGAAAATTGTGTTGCTTGTATGAGTGAGTGTCTTACACGTTGAGATTGTATTTGTTTCTTCATTATCGTTCTCCGAACGCGTACTGAACTTCCTAACAAACATTTCCTATTATAAGAAGACACATTGAGTCATACTTTTCTTCACGAATACCTGCATATTTCTATAAGAAAAGGGGATCGAAAATTGACAAGAAAGATGGCAAACTATTCTTGATAATATAATGACGAATAAATTAAAAATAAAAACTCCAATTTATATTACAAAAGTTTGTTGTGTGTTAGATTTCAAAATAATTGATTATTAAAATATTGTTGTGTTACCTTGGCAAGCAGAAAATATTTCGAGAAAGTAATCTCAATCGTAAACAAAAAAAAAAAAAAGAATAAAAATAGAATCAAATCAAAGTTAAGGTAAGACAGGTAAAGGTAGTTAGATAGAATAAAAATTGTAATCATCTATATCAGGGCTTCTTAAACTTTTGTCATTCACATTTATGATTGCGAGTTTCTTGACGACCCCATACAAATATTACTGCTGTCGGTAGAGATAGCTCAAAACCTTCAACAAATGCACGCGTCTAGACGCTGCAAGTCCACTGTATTCCGGCAACTCTAGTGATGTTATAAAATGGTATATATAAATATTTGACATTAAAATCTCTCGCGACCCCAGAATTTTGCTACGCGACCACATTTGGGGTCGCGACCCATAGTTTAAGAAGCCCTGATCTATATGAAAATCCTCCATTGATATTATCTCATATTATGTTATTTCAAATCTACACAAATCTATAGAGATATATTATCTTAAGATATTTGACGTTAGAGGAAAATTATAATAGCTACGCTTATGGATGGACGGACGGTAAGAACAGTAAAAACAGCACGAGCCTCGACCACGGCAGTCGTGTTCAAGCGGAGGCGGTGTTGTGAGGCCTTCCTTTTCTCTCCATCCTTGTGAACAGAGGGGTACAGAGGAAATGGAAGCAAATGGAAGTAAAAGGAATCGAAGGTAGGAATGGAGTTGGTGGAAAAGGGGCAAGTGGCGAGAGGTGGTGGCAGACGGTGCTGGTGCTGATGCTGATGCTGGTGGTGATGGTGGTGGTGGTGCTGGTGCTGGAGCTGTTTCAAAGGGGGTTCCAAAGAGGTGAAGGAAGGTGGGCTTTGGGGAGGGGGTTGGGGAGGGTTAAGGGGAGGAGGGGGAGGAAAGTGGTCGCAAGCGTGGACGAGTAATGGAGAGGGGGGTGCACCGCGGGACGCAATCACGTCCTGCACGCGCCGTGCCCCGAGCCACTTACAGACACTGTTACACGAGGGGGCATACATTTCTATAATATTTTCATTTATCTTTCTCTTATTTACACATCCATCATAACATTTTATTAACAATTTTTATTCAATCGAATTAATACATATAATTCTATCTCAATTACAATTCAAATATAATATAATAATATCGCATCTCGTATGTGTGTGTGTGTTTGTTTGTTTGTGTGTGTGTAAAATTTGAAAAACTTATCAACGTTATTTCTATTTTATTTTAATGGTAATATATTTTTATATTATTTGTTTAATTAATTAATCATTAGCACAATTGTTTAGGATTGGGTTATACGTGCTGTGCCTCCCGTCACTTATAGACAATGTTACACGATGCATTCATTTATTTTATATTTACATTTACATATTTTATTAACAATTATATAATATTCAATTTATCTTCCAATCACACAATCCCTTTTTTCTATCAATTACATTTGGATATTAATATTTGGAAAACTTATCAATATTTTTATTAGAAATTTTATAATGAGTATATTTAATTATTGGTTTAATCAATGAATCATTGATTAGCGCTAATGATTAATTTGATTAAAAAACAAATAACAAAAAAAAAGGAATTTTATTAGATTAGAATCGAAATGAATAGAATATGTATAATTAGGAAATAAAATGAATTGTGTATTGTTAAGAGTTTTGAAGTTTAATCATAGTTGATAAGTCGAAGATGTGTTTTATACGGTTGCACAAATATCAGAATAGGTAAGAGGGTTCGATTTTGTTTCGTGTAACATCGCTTTGGTCACGACTTCGATCACGAGGCGCATAGTGGTCTGACCCACACGAGCTCCTAGAGTTCTGAGTACGTTCCAAGTGTGGGAACTACTCATCCCCAAGACTCTCGGCGACCTTTCGTTGCAACCTGCAACCGCATCTCTCTTTCTTATCTTTTTCCCCCATTGAAGAAGGTTGCTCTAGATGTCCTCCTCCTCCTCCTCTTGAATATATATCCAATTTTTGTTCTTTGCCCATGCCCATGCGTTTCTTCTTTTATTCTTTTTTTATTCTTTTATTTTTCTTTTTTAAATTGCAAATGGGGATATATAAGAAGATGGGGAAAAATGGAGAGTTTTGTATCGCTCAATGAATTTCAAAGTTACTAAAGTTTATCTTTAGAATTGCTATTGCATATTATTTATATGTACATACATTTTCGAAAGCTC